CCTACAATCTCAGTGCATCTGACCTCCTCACAGGTTCCTTTTATTCCTACTTTTAAGGTTAAAAACAAAAACAAAAAAACAGCTTGCCCAGGGACAAAAGGCTAGTTTCAAGACAGTCTATAATCTTAGCTACTCAGGAGGCTGAGATCTGAGGGTCACAATTCAAAGCCAGCCCAGGCAGAAGAGTCTCTCAGACTCTATATCTCCAATAACCAGCAAAAAAACAGAAGTGGAGCTGTGGCTCAAGCGGTAGAATGCCAGCCTTGAGGAAAAAAAGCTAAGGAAGAGCATAAGACCCTGAGTTCAAGCCCAAGTACTGGCACAAAGAGAGACAGACAGACAGACAGACAGACAGACAGACAGACGGACACACAGATGGACAGACAGATGGATGGACAGAGACAGGTGGGTTGTGGTTAGTGGTGGAGGTCTGTGGAGACTATCATGGGGTATTTGGTGTGAGAGAATGTGTGTCTACATATTAGGAGCGAGAGACAGAGAGAGAGACAGAGAGACAGAGAGAGAGAGAGAGACCACCTCCCATACAGTCCTCTTGGAGGGTTTATTAGAATAAATGACCCTCTTTCTGTCCAATCCTTTGCTGCTTGAACTCATTCTCTGTCTGCTGACAAATGGCCTCTCCTCACTGAGCCTCAGCCTCAGTCTTCTCAGAACAGAACTAGGGGAGGGGGTGGGTGGCAGGGCAAGCCCTTTTCTCAGTGGCTTAACACAAGAGTTTATTTCTTGTACATTGTGGATCACTTGGGAGGATGGGGTGGGGGAGTACTGATCTCCAAGCAGTCATTCAGAGATCCTGACTCAGTCTCCCCTACAGTCCTCAGAGATCTCCCCTAAGTCCTGAAGAACTGGCCACTAGATGAGGAAGTGGGCGATGAAGGTGACATTGCTGAGCCGACTCCGCCCAGCATGAGGAGCCTCGCCCCGTTACAGTCTAATGACAAGAGCTAACCATGGGGCCCCAGCTAGATGAGAGGGATGAGGAAATGATGCCCCAGAGGGTCCCCAGAGAGACGGGGACCCAGATCTGGTGACCACTGAGCTGTCCTGGCTGCAGGGCAGGGCCAGTGCCCCCACTGGCCACACGGAAGCCCAGAAGTCAGGACCCCTGAGTCCTTCCCTGGTCTGTGCTCTGTCCCTCCTCCCTGAGCTCTGCCCCTCCTCCCGGAGCTCTGCCCCTCCTCCCGGAGCTCTGTCCCTCCTACCGGAGCTCTGCCCCTCCTCCCGGAGCTCTGTTCCTCCCCCTGCACTCTGTCCCTCCCTTTGGAAAAGAGAATGCATTCTGCCAAGCCTCTTCCAGGGTGGGTGGCTGGTGAGATAATGATCTTACCATACTTATTGCCTCTTGGAAGGCAGGTGCTGGAGAAAACCCAAGTCCGCTCTGATTTCTCTCCCTGTTCCTTTCACATTTCTTACCAGGATAAATTTAGCCAGTTCTCACTCTGAACAGCAGGGCCCAGGATGTCATCATCTTCTTCTTCCTCTTCTTCCTCCTCCTCCTCCTCTTCCTGTCCTTCCTCTTCCTCCTCTTTCTCTTTCTCCTTCTCTTCTCCTTCTTCCTCTTCCTCATCCTCTTCCTTTTTCTCCTTCTTTTTTCCTTCTTCTCCTCCTCCTCTTCCTCTCCCTTCTCCTCTCCTTCTTCCTCCTCCTCCTTCTTCGCATCAGAGTTTTAATGGCTGCACCCTTAAGCTAAGAATGCAGGTTTTGGAACCACATACCCAACCCTTGTGCTTTCCCAAATATCTGTGACCTAACCTTTGCCCCCTCCCAATGAATGTCAGGTGCCACAATTTTAGACAAGGGCCTTGAATTCTCCCATAGTGTCCAGTAGAGTAAGAAAGCTGAATTTAGAAGAGCCTTGAGACCTTGCATAAGGGCTACCTGTGTCCTTAACAGCCACCTTAGAGGTGGAGGGAGGCTGGCTCCAATGGCTCTGAGCTTCAAGTGTGGGCTTCGGAGTCATCAGAGCAGATCAGAATCTAGATTCAAGCAAGTTATATTCTCTTCTGTCTGTTCATCTATAACATGAGTCGACAAGGCTGGTTCTTCATGAGGTTAACCAAGATGCTTATATCATGAAGGGTAGAGAGATGACTTTCAGGCCAATCAGAAAGCCACAGGGAGGACTTTCTGAAGCCTCTGCCCATTCCAGATCCTTCTTTTCCAGACTTTTGAGATCTCCTGAGAGGCTCTTGGATCTGACCAATGATAAAGAAATGATATCCTTCCAGATGCCCATGTTACCATCTTTCCCTGATGCATCTTCAACTCCTGCCTTTTTCATGGTTGGTGCAAATCTCTCCTGCTACCGTCTAGATAAAACTTACCAGAGTTAACAAGTTTCACCTCTTAACTCTTTCCCTAACTTCCAAGTCTTTCTTTGGGCCAAGGAACTTTATTTCCTTAGCCTTCCTTGCTGAGCCACTTATTTTTACCCTGGGCCTCCTCTGGAGAAGATCCTGTAGTTTGTCCAGCCTCTCTTCCTTCAGCAGGATAGCTCATAGGAAAGTGCCTGGGCCAGGTTTCCTGCTCCCTCTTTTCTCCTTGCCCCCCAAACTTTGCCTCACCAAATAAGAACTCATAGCAAACAACTTCCTGGGTCAAGCTCTTCCTCCCTAACCTTTGTCTCACCAAATAAGAGCCCATAGCAAACAACTTCCTGGGTTAGGCTCTCCCAGGGAGTTTTGCCTCAACACATGCTTTTCAATCTCCAGCAACAGGAGTGTAGATCAGGTGAACAAGTTCTGGCCATGCCCAGGCATAGGCAAAGACAGCAAGTGTACTGCCTTTATTTCTATACTCCTTCTTGACCCAGATAAAACCTGGGCTGGCCACTTTGCAAAGTGGGGAGGGGTTAGGTTAGGCATCCTGCAGGACACAAGAATGGTTTCCAATGGAGTGACAAGATGAAGGGAGGGTATCACAAAGAGGCGCATGGGGTAAAGAGAAACCAGCAAACTGATGAAGACCACCAAAGGCTGGCAACATATGGAAACTGCTGCCCCCTGTGTGTGGTGGGGGGGAGGGGGAAGCGGGGAGAGACGTACAGAACCTGGTGAAGATGAGGCTACAGGACAGGCCTTGCCCTTGGCCTTCAGTGGATAATAAGTAACTGCTACAGATCTAGAAGACTCAATACCCTGACCTTTCTGTATCCCATCCCCCTGCGCATCCTCTCATTTTCCACCCCCCTTTGGGGCCCCTATCTCCTATTGATACTTTCCATTGATGCATCCAAGTGGAACAGTTGGTAGAAACAAGGCTTCAGACCAGCCAGGCTTCCAAGGCTCAGAGCTGGGCAGAGAATGGGAGAATGCATGTGGGGGGGGGCAGATAGAATCCGGGGATCCCTATGAGGCTGCCATGAAGAGTTGGTCTCAACAATTAACAGAGCTTTGGAGAGGTATGAGCACCCACAGTGTTCCACACCTGGAGGCTAGGTCACATGGGACCATGTGGTGGAGCCAGCATGGAGATTTGTTTCCGTCCAACAGAGTTTCCCTGTGCCCAGTGGCAGCCAGACCAGTGGAAACCATTTTACGCTTCCAGGTGACCTTTTCCCTCCCGTGTCTGGGGTCCTCCACTACTGAATTGCTTGAGACTCCACACTGGGCAGTCTCAAACTCAGAGGTGCCTGGGAAGGGCACCACATTGCTCACTGCAGAATTTCCAGACCCCTCTCCCCACAGAGCGAGACTGGGAGTGAGCGGGGCCCAGGATACCTTAGAGGGTGTCAGCCAGCACTGGTAAGAGCAGTGTTAACTGCACATACTTACAGATTTTTCTGGGCTCTTCCATCCCCACCATCACTTGCCAAGGATACTGGCAGCAGAAATTGACTTTACATCCAAGGGACAGTTGCTCAAAGAGATTATACCGTGTGAATGTTAACATTTGGGTTATGATAGCAAGTACAGTGGCTGGGAAAGCCAAAAGATTCATGCAAGTTGAATCTCAAATCCAGCCGCAGGCAAAGTCCCTTCCTTCCCATAGCTCTCTCCACTCTCTGTATTGAGTACCTCTCTCTCTCTCTCTCTCTCTCTCTCTCTCTCTCTCTCTCTCTCCCTTCCCCCCCCCCTCTGGTGACAATATAATGTGACTGTTCTCATAGTCTCTCACAAAGTACAGAACACCCAGAGGCCAAATCAGAGAAGGGACAGGGGACTAAAAGTCTGGGACTTCTGCAAATCAGCTGGGTAAACCCAACTGGCCAAGCAACTGAAGTCCTCAGAGCCTCATTTGGAGAACAGGATGGTCACTTTCCTCTTTCATAGTACTGTCATCCAGGGGAAGCATCCGGAGGTGTCTGAAAGCGTTTTTGTCTACAACTCCACAAAAGTAAATGGATTTCATTAGCAAATAGCAGCAGCCGGAATCAGCAAGTGTGTCCTGAGGGTTGACTGTGTTCTCAACCCCGGATGCATGTGGCCCTCACTCGATTCTCCTGGCAGCCTGGAGAAGCAGGACTTTTGTATTGCTCCCCCTCACAGATGAGGCACCCAAGCCTCAGAGATCAAGAACTGGCACCGCAGGTTGGTTGGATGAGATGCCTGGGAGTAGGGTGATGGAAAGGGGTGGGGGCCGGGATAGAGAGAGAAGTACCTGCAGCGAGATACCAAAATAGGACTCTAAGACACCCAGCAAATAGAACTGCAGATACCTGGTCTCCAGCAGTAGCTCAAACCTTTGCACACACCAGCCTCATACAGGAAAATGATTTGACAAGGGAGAGCCTTGGGTCTTGCCCTCAGAGATGCTGGTGCTACAGGTTCTGGGTGTGACCCCAGAATCTGCTTTTAAAACAAGACCCCCCCCCAAGAGGATGCCTGTAGAGTGGAGATATCAGGCAACCACCTAGAGAGGACTTTATCAAATGTCTCAGCAAACCACTGGTAAGGATTGGTTGGTCAGTGAGAGCCATGTGGCACTGGAGGAGCCCAAAGGATCAAACAGGAGACCCACTTTACCTTACGGTCCGCCAGATTCGCCAAGTACTACAAAACAGAGAACGGCACCGAATACCGCACGCTCCTGAAGGCTTTCGGCATCCGCTTTGATGTGCTGGTTTATGGGAATGTGAGTACTGGAACTGGGTACGTGGGGTGGACCAGGGAGACATTACAGGCAAGCTAGTGAGCCCCGAAGAGGCCCCCGAGGGGCCAGAGCATGCTTCTGGCCACGTCTCTGTCACCTCACCTGGCACCCGCTGTCCCATCAAGAGCCCTTGGACTGCATGGCGTCTTTAGCTTGGAATCTCAGGCTTCCTGCCTACCTCCCCTGCTGGGCCCTGGGCCCCATGGCCTCCATCTTTGTGCCCACAGGCCGGCAAGTTCAACATCATCCCCACCATCATCAGCTCCGTGGCGGCCTTCACTTCCGTAGGAGTGGTGAGTTCTGCCCCTCTCATCTCTGACAGGCAGCCAGGCCAGGTGGGACACAGCCAAGCCCAGCAGGCAGAGAGCGGCCTCAGTAAGCCCTCGCCCTGGGTACCTCAGCCTCCCTCACCTGCTGAGCGGCCCCGGTTTGAACGTCTCCATCATTGCTTGCCGAAGCTCATGACCTCCCCAAACTGACGTTTAGTTTCCAGGAGGCATCATCCTCTAAAATGATCCTGTTTCTCACTGGGGAAGAGACTCCAGCTTTCCAAAGACCTCAAGTTCCTTAGCAAGAAACAGAGACACTGGACACTGGTGGCCTGTAATCCTAGCTACTCAGGAGGCTGAGAGCTGAGGATTGCGGTTCAAAGCCAGCCCAGGCAGGAAAGTCCATGAGACTTTTATCTCCAATGAACTACCAGAAAAGTGGAAATGGCCCTGTGGCTCAAAGTGGTAGAATAGTAGACTTGAGCTAAAGAGCTGAGGGGCAGTACCCAGGCCCAGAGTTCAAGCCCCACAACCAACCAAAAACAAAAATAAGAAGAAAAGAAACAGAGTCACTTGGCCAGGCAGGGACACAGCCCCATTTCTCCAGGTCCCCTCTGCTTTTCTACCAAGGACTCTGTGTGTATGACCTGGGGTCATGCCCAGGAGCTGGGATGGTGAGCAAAGCCCTGAGAGAAAGCATAAGCCAGGCCTCTCTGGAGGACTTGCTCTCTACCCCGGCCTACCCAATCTGTCCTACCCAGGGTCTGGCCAACTCGATGTCCACTTGAGGCCTGCCATCTTGCTCCTACCCATCGCTGGTGGCGCCTCTGAGCCTTCCCTGTCTCTCCTCCAGGGGACTGTTCTCTGTGACATCATCCTGCTCAACTTCCTCAAGGGGGCCGATCAGTACAAAGCCAGGAAGTTTGAGGAGGTGAGTTGGGGGCCGTGGGACGGTGGGGACAGTAAAAGGTAGGGAAGAGGGGGCAAGGAGGGACATGAGACATCAGGAGCTCCCCGTGGATCGCTTTCTGAACTTGAAGTCAAGTTCATTGGGCCGCAGTGAATACGTGGGATCCCGACAAGAGAGGATTTGGCCAAGAGTTGATAGAGAACTATGGGATTCTGTGCATCCTCACTGTCAACATCCCCACTCTCTCCATTTGGGGGGATGGGACCAATCTTGCAGGAGCCAATCTTGGCTCAAGTTTCTGTTTATCCATAGAGTACCTGCAAAGAGTCAAGATGCCCAGATTCTCCCCTAATAACCAGGCTGTAGACCCCACTTCTGATTCTATCAAGTGGGTCACAGAAAATGACCTTGCCCTCGCCAGGCACTGGTGGCTTAAACCTGTAATCCTAACTACTCAGGAGGAGGCCAAGGGCTGAGGATCACAAGGCCAGAAAGACCAGGAGATGCTCCTCTTCAATTAACCAGCAAAGTGGTTAAGCCAGAAGTGGAGCTATGGCTCAAGAGATGAAGCACTAACCTTGAGCAAAAAGTAAATAAATAAATAAAATCTCAGGGACATTGCTTAGGCCCTGAGTTCAAGCCCCAAGACTCCCCCACCTCCCATCCCCCCCACAAAGGTCCTTGCCCGAGGTCAAACATGACAATGCCCTTCTGCTTGCAGGTGAACGAGACAACACTGAAGGTCACTACCTTGGCCAACCCAGTGGACCCCAGGGACCTGGCCACCGAGGAGAAGCAGTCTACAGACTCAGGGGCCTACTCCATCGGCCACTAGGGCCTGGCTAGGGCCTGAACTCACCCTTGGGCTCCAGATCTCCCAACAAGGGTCCTACCTGGGCAAAGGGAGGGGGGTGAGGGAAAACATGGGCTCTCATGTCCTGTGGCTCACCCCTAAGCCACAGATGAGACACAGTTGGTTGGGTCCCATTGCTCCAGGAAAAGGTGGTTCTCCCCACTAAGCCCTGAATTGTTACCTTCACCCCTTGCATGCCCCATCTGCTTCCTGGGACCGACCCCCCCCCCCAGGGAAATAGCAACTGAGTTAGCTCCCTCCTGAAGGCTAGAGACAATAATAGTAGTCCCATGATGGCCCACTAAGTGCCATGCACTTTAATATGCATTATCTCAGTTAATCCTTAGAAGACTCCTATGAGGTAGATATCCATTTCCCCATTTTGAAGATAAACTGTGGCTCAGTTGGAAGAAGACTGAATCATTCAGCCCAGGAAGTGAGAAAGCTGAGATTTGAACCTAGGTCTGACTTTCCCCATACCCATGAAGGAACAATGAATCCTCCTGGCATCTGCTCTACTGTTACCCTGCCCTGTTTCCCTGCCCATGATTAGGACAATAAAGAGTTAATCCAAGCTTTCCCAGAAACTCAGGTCCCACTAACTGGGAGACCAGTGAGACTGTGGTAGAAGGTCTCGTCTCTGACTTGGGTGGGTTGCAGATGCAGAAAAATAGGAGTGACTCTCAGTGGATTTCTCTTCACCTCACCCTAAAGCTCAATCCAAAGCAAGGAATGGACACCTCCTATTCCCCTTCTGAACCCCCCTCACTCAAGAAGTTGCTTCCAGGATAAAAGGTGGTTCGATGACAGAGAAGCCCCAAGAAGACAAGGGTCTCGATTTAAAACATTGGTGGAACAGCTCCTAGGAAAGCCTGGTGCAGGTGATCTCAGGAGGCTGAGATCTGAGGCTCATGGCTCAAACCCATCCCAGGCAAGAAAGTCTATAAGACTCTTATCTCCAACTAAATACCACAAAAGCTCGAAGTGGAGTTATGGCTCAAGTGGTAGAGCATGAGCTTTGAGCAAAAAAGCTCAGGGACAGCTCCAGGCCCTAAATTCAATCCCCAAGACTAACACACACACACACACACACACACACAACCACAAAACTCCCAATGAGAACCAGTGCCTATGGTCAGCCAGACCAACTAAACCTTCTCCCACAGAAATGGGCAAAAGGGACCTTCAAACCCATCTTGTGAAACCCTCTAGCTTATGATGAGCACACTGAGACCCCAAAGAGAACAGAACATGTCCAGTGCCCCAGAGTTAGTGGCCAAGAGAGATTCAAGGTGTCCTGCCCCTCAGAGAAGGAGACAAGAGGAAGCTGGAGAGCCGTGGAGAGGTCCAGTCATCGCTCACGCTGGCTTCCATTGGTCCAAGTGCCCGGCTGATGTTTTCTTTTCTTTGTAGGTTAGTTGGGCTAAACCAGGTTTTGCGCCAGTAACAAGTAACACTTCAAGGTTTGCTATAACAAAGTAGGTCAGAGAGCCTCTCCACGTACTACCTATGCCATCTGAACCCCAGGGACTCCCAGGTCCCTGCAGAAGGGAAAGAGAGCTGGAGGACCATGGGAATTCTTCAGAGACCAAGTCTGAGCTCACTTCCAGCCACATCCCATTGGCCCTAGGTGGGCTGCAAAGTCCAACTTACCACAAGGAATACTGGGAAATAAGTCCTCTTAGGACTCCAAGAAAACAGCATTCTCTTTGCTTCATTATCTCCTTTTTTAAAAAACAGCTTCCTTTCTTTCCCTCCCACCCGGTGCCCACCATTCCCACTGAAAATTCTACACGCCCTTCCCTTGTATTCTCTCAAAGCCTCTTTCTCAACAAGTTGCCAATCAGCCTCCCAGGGGGTATTAATAGATAATGCTCTAGGGAATTTCTCCCAAGAATATTTGCTTTTTAGTAAAAAAAAACTAAGACAGAAAGGCCATAAATAGCCAAAGGAATTGATATATAAGGATTGAAGAAAAGACCTGACAGTGTTGGAGAATTGAGGGACATCTTGCCTACCCTGGCCTTCCCTGGAGGGGGAAAAAAAAAAAGCTTTATTTGAAAGGCTCTGGGCTTCATTTCCCACTCCCTTCTTCCTACTTCTACCTCTGTTTTTAGCTATCAGGAGTTTGGCCAGAGGCCATTCCCCCCGCTGGGAAATATGTGAAATATTTGTCCCCTGATAGCAGGAGCCTGACAATCCGTTGACTTGTTATATCCCTGCACACCTTCCCTTCTGCTCACCCTTCCAACCCTGCAGTGGGCTTCACGGTTCCTGTGTGAACAGAGCATGAATTGGCTTGTTTCAGTTTCCAGTGAGAACCTGGGTGGGACCCTACATGTAGCTACCACGCCTCCTGCCCCAGGATCCCTAGGGACAATGCTTAGGAGCTGCCTGGCCCTATCTCCATCCAAGATAGAAAGACAGGCCCTTCCACCATTGAAGTCTTTTCACCTAGAAATAGATCCTAGGGTCCAGCACCAGTAAGGTTCTTGGTCTCTCCAAGACCCTTCTTCCTGTGGCCAGAGGCTCCCTATGGTCAAGGGACTTGTTCCTGTCATTTCCCCATTACTCACGTTCCAGGGCTGTCTCCAATTCCTGTTTTGTTTCCCAAAATCCAGCACCCAGCCAGGCACCAGTAGCTCATGCCTGTAATTCTAGTTATTCAGGATGCTGAGATCTGAGGATCTCAGTTCAAAGCCTGAGCAAGCAGAAAAGTCTGTGAGACTCTTACCTCCAATAAACAAACCCCTCTCCCCACAAAAAAGCCAGAAGTGGAACTCTGACTCAAGTGGTAGAGCACTAGCTTTGAGCAGAAGCAGCTCAGAGACATTGCCCAGACCCTGAGTTCAAGCCCCAGGATAGCCATTAAAAAAAAAATCCAGCACTCTTAGAAACCCAACATTTAGAAAAAACCCGAGGAGGAGAAGGGGTTTCTCCTAAGATCATATCAGCTGTGTACACAGATACACATGCACACACACAAACCTACTTCTATACACAGGCATGCTCAGACACACACTGAAACAAATATCCACATGCATCTGATCATAGACAATGAGGTACACATATGTGCACACACAGATTTTGAACATAAGGGCAGAAAGCCGCACAGACACGCATTCACAGATAGACAGGTGTATTCACAGATATTCAGAAAGGTATTAAAGGGATGCACTCTGAACATAAATGCACACTGACACACAAATGCACACACACATTTACAGTGTTCAGATATACACAAGTGTGTATTTTCTCATGTAGACACCAAAATACATATGCACATACATACATGTACACACAAATATTTACATTCTCCCTGGGCCCTGTGTAGAAAATACACTCCCAAGAAGCATCTCTCTCTCTCTCTCTCTCTCTCTCTCTCTCTCTCTCTCTCTCCCTCTCTGCTCTCATAATACCCAATCTGAGCTCTGAACTTCCTTCTTCAACTGTAAATCCAAATGTCCAGATGGTGCAAAATTGAGACCAAAACAAACAAACTTGATGTTGTCAATGTCCCCAGGGTCTGAGGTGGAGGAACGAGAGAGGCTGAGGCCTGGGGTGTGAACTGGACCTGGGAATTATGCTGCTGCCAGCCACCCTGCTTTGTCCCTACGAATGGAAGCAACTTTCATGATCCCTCTGCACAGGTAGACAGGTTGGAGGAAGAAGAGGAGAGCCTGGCCGCCTTCATTGTAGGAATCCCTCCTTCCTGTCCCTCGCAGTGAACCAAAAGCAAGAGGGCCCATTTCCTACAACCCACCAAAGGGGATCCTCCCCCTTTCCCGGGATCCAGAGCCACCAGGCTGAAGGGGCCTTGGGGACAGTTCGGCCTGGTCCCTGCCCGGCCTCCAGGGGGCGCTGCATCTGGACAGCACAGGGTGGGCCCTGATGGCCAGCATGCCCTCACCCAGCTCTGCCACCTTTCCCTCTCCCACAGCGGCAAACGTTGGTAGGATTTTCCCCAACATGGAAGAGTCCCCCCAAAGGGAACAAGGAAGAAACAAGACTCGGGGAATGCTATGGGAAGTCTGGATTTATGAGCAAGAGAAACTATGGATGTCAAGAATGAGCGTGAACCTCAACAGGTGTGAAGACAGCTTCTTGTCAGGGTCTGAGTGCCTCTGGATTAATTGGAGCAGACGAAGGGCGCATGCGTGTTTCACACAGAGCTCCTTGCCAGAAGCCCCCTAACAGCGGAGAGCAGAGTGAGGTCCGCTGTCCCCCTTGGTCTGGGTTCCGCCCGGTCCCTCCCGAGGTTCCTCTAGGTCCCCTTCCACAGCCATGGCTGTCACCAGCTAGCTGTTCCTCACCATGACCTAGGCTGTGTGCTGAGCGCCTTACGTGGTCTATGGTATATAGGCTGACCACAATGAGAGGTAGGCGCTGGCCTGGTCCTCATAGTACAGGTAAAACCATGGCGACTGTGTGTAGGCAGACGATGTGCCTGTAATCTCTGCTGGCAAGTGGCAGAGCCAGCACGTGAATCTCAGCCCTCTTGCGCATAAACATCTGGTCTTAGACTCTCCTAAACTCCTTCACATCTGCCACCCCTGCTGGTGCCCACATCTGCAGCTCCTATCTGGCATCTTGTCGCTCAGCTGTCTCTAATCCCCACCTCTTTCCCTCTCCCTCATCCACACCTTCTGTTCACATCTGTTCTTCTCACAGATCACAGTAGTTACTCAAAATTGCCATCCTCATATCAGAGGAAGGAAAGGACCTCCAGCCAGCTTCTCCCCCCTCCCTCCCCCCCCCCCCAAGGCACCTGACTACTTGGTTCTGCTTAAAGGATCTCAGCTCTCCCCATCAGCAAAATTCCAGTTCTTCAGCTTGGGGAAGGTGGGGGGCTGGTGCGACTTGAAGGGGACTCCAAGCAGCCCAAAGGAACCCTTTGCAGCTGGGCACCAATGGTTTATACTTGTAATCCTAGCTGCTCAGGAGGCTGAGACCCAGTTGGAAGCCAGCCCAGGCAGAAAAGT